CCAATTCAGAGCCTGCCTCCCAGGGTCTTCTGAGGATAGTGAACCTGAACTGGCCACGTTTACAAATACGTAGGGAATATCAGCGTCAGGCTTACTCAGCTCAGGCATCCTGCCCTGTGCTAGTCAGAAGCTAGACAGCTATGGCAGAAGTTACTGCAGCTTTCAAGAGACACATACCGGGCACCCTGACCTCAGTGGTGCAAAGCCCACATGGGTAGAGGGCGGCACACGCCAAGCCTCCTGGGCTACAAGCCCAGACCCAGAAGTGCATTTACAAAACCCATTTCCCTGGGGTGGTTCTGAATCAAGTGGCATGTGGTAAGCACGCAACCAAGAGGTTTTCTAAGCTCTTATTGTTAAAAACATTTGGAGTGCACTCTGGGCTCCTCTCTGTTCAGGCTCTGTCTTCTGTTTAGAGGTGGCTCACCTCTGAAGCCACTTCATGTACTGGGGCCCTGGGCAGGGGCAGAGTCCTCCTCCACTGCTAATTGAGAATCAGGCTGAAACACCTACATCTGAAACAAATGCCTTAACACAAACACATTTTACCCATCTAAATCAATTCCACCCTCCTATGAATATTGACATTCACACAGCTCAATTGAATCCATGCAAAATACTTAATATCCATTGTAAAGAGCCAGGCTCAGCCATGACAATGAAATATCACAGGCTACCAAAACAAACAAACAAATCCTAGAGAAACAGCCTAAGTTATTTTGTCATTTTTTACTTAATAAACATTTCTACTAAGAAAGCAAGACCTAGTACTATAATTATGTCGGCAGATAATAATTAAACCTGGTCTCCTTAGCCTTCTGGTATATTTTTAAACAAAAACAAAGACTCTCTGTGTATATTCGGAAGCTTTAATGTGAAGCACACACTTGGCCGGGCAGACCTGTCAAGAGGGCTGTCACCATGAATCCGTTTGGTGTCCCTTTGGTGTCCGCACCATCAGGCGGAGGAGCCACAGAGGCTCCAACACGGGAGCGTGGGTTTACTGGTGCACAAGTCGGCAGTGTGAACAGACATGTCATTTCCTTCTCTCTGGTTACTGGGCAGGTAAGCCTGTGGCCTACTGATTTCCATGAAAGGACAATCCTCACCATGTGTGGTGAGCATGGGTGACAGCTGTGGCCTTTCCCCACGTCCATTTCAGCTGTGCCCCCCACTTGCAGGCACGTTGGGAAGATGCTGAGACAGAAGAGTGTCCCAAAGCCATCAAAGGGACACTTTCTCTGTGTTTACTCTTGGTGTCATTTACTGAAAACCATCTAGAGAAATTCATTTTGTTCCCTGGATGCTGTTTGGACCCTCAGCTTCTCTGTCTTCCCTTTCAAGTACTGATAAGAAAAGGCGGCACTCTTTCCAGATGCCAGACCGTGGATAGCGTTTCTCTTTCCCTCCCCTCTCCTGCTCCCTGATGCGCAAAGACCAGAGAGAAGGCCACGGCTGGAAGTCAGCTTTCCAGCCGCTCTGGCAGGTCAGGCGCGTGCAGCACGTGTGTGTGTGTGTGTGTGTGTGTGTGTGTGTGTGTGTGTGTGAACAAGGAGAGGCAAGGGAAAAGTGGAAGGATTTGAATGTCCGGCCTCCCCCTCCACGCACACCCCAGACAGCTACGTCAGGCAGTCCCCTGGGGTCTGAGGCTCAGATCTGTGTCTGAGAACAACTTGAGAGAAGGCCCTGGATCCCGGGGAGCCCTGCCAAAGCTGTTGCTCCATGTGGCTAAAACATCTGCCTGAGTGAAGGAGCCGCCACTCCCAGGCGAGCCGCTGGGCCTGGGAGAAGGGGGGCGGGAACCTCCAGGAGCTTTCCGACAGCCCGGAAACGTCCCTTCAGTGTGGGACAGACAAGAGTGGCCTGGAGGGACTTCCCAGACGATTCAGTTCCTGCAGCAGACTGCTTCGGCCAGTGACAGCCAACTCCAAGAGGTGCGGCAGAGCTGGACACTCACGGGCAAGTACTGACGAAAGCCGAGTCAGGACCGTCCTGTGCACCATCTGCTGCTGCAGCGCTCACTCTCAGCTCAACAGTGCGATTCCTGCACACACTACCGCCCCCCACGCAAACCCAGGGCAGATCACGTTTCTAACTCATTCTTACTCTCTAACCCAGAACTCTCACGTACCGATGGTCAGAGCACCCCCGTCCACCCCTCCTCACTGGGCAGCCACATCCCGTCCCCGGCTCCCCGGCTCCTGTTGGCCTCTCTCTAAAGCACCTCATACTCAGACTCTTGGTCATCTGATGCGCTCAGAGGCCAGCTCCACTGCCGCGATTTTTCACCAAGTGCTGAAACGGGAGAACTGCATGAGACATGGACTTTCCAAGCACTCTCCCACGACTGCCTGTTTCACAAATAGCTCCTCCAAAGAGCCTTGTTCCGTCTGAGCAGGCATCTGCTGACTCACCCGGGCACACACAACTTCCAGGAAGTTTGGCTGGCAGTGGACGCTGGCTGCAAAACCAAAGTGATTGTTTTTCCATTATTCCATTACCAGCTGGCAGAGAGGACACATAACCAAAATAGGAATTTCTGCTTCAACCTGAAGTCATGGCAACCACATGGACACAGCCTGGTGCTGTCACCACTGGGACATCCCTGTGATTCCAATCTTACCTTGTCTAAGCTCAGCTGAAGGTCTTTAGCCCCAGCTACCTGCTGAATTGTTGAGGACCTCTTTCCATGCCAGAACCAAACATCCTCAGATGCAGATAAATCAATTCCAGAACAGAATTTGTTTATTGAAGTTAAAGTGGTAAATTCCATTCAGAATTTTTAAAATTTTATAAGTCTTTCCTGAAGTCTTTTAAGAAAATAATCCAGCAAATGGTGACCAATTCCTAAGAGAAATATAAGGGATGGCTGTTTTGACTCCTCAGGCCTTTACTTCCATATTATTACACGATTATATTCTTGTTATAACCTAATTACAACAGAGAAGAAATGCTGGCACTAAAATTCACTTGTCAGCATTAAAAGCAATTTCTACAACAATGGGAAAAGTCAGTGCAATAGGAAACCAGACTTTAATATCTAGCCTGCCCTAAGCTGGCAGTCCAGAGGCAAGACCAGCTCAAACCAGACTGCGTGTCTTCCTGGTCAACATGCCACCTCAGGCACTTGGTTAGGGGCTGCCCCCAGAAGCACATTTTTCAATGTATTTAATCTCAGGTTGACTTGTATTATTCCTGACTTTAGGGATCTGCAACAGGTTTGCAAGGGGGACAAGCTCTTTTGGGACTCTTTCAAAGTTGGTTCCCTCTAGGTATTTTTCTTTTAAAAATGTTAGTGGACATAAATTCATTTCTTGAAAAGTGTCACATGACAGTCTGTAAGTGGTTGGGTCCTGAGTTTAAATGGTTAGGAAAAGCTTCTCTGAAGGTACTCAATAAAAGCAAGAAAAGGTGAGTCTGCCACATTAGCTAGGAAAGACTGTCCTTAAATGTCATGGACTTAAAATGTTTTTTAAAAAAAGCATTTAAGAGGCAAACTTGACTTGAGTGTAGCATCCTGGGAAAGTCTAATAGCTCAAGGAAACAGAACTGACCTTACTGCGAGCTAGCTGTGTGGCTGAAATGATCCCCAGGTTGAGAAGAGCACCAGCAGGGTGAGGTACCTTTGCCAAGCACCCGCTAGTACACTGGCTGCAGCTGCAGCCAGGCCGTGAGCTCTGTGGCCTCCGAGGCCCCTCACCCCGAGGGGTTCTGAGATGAACACCAGCGGCCTCTTGCTCCTCCTCCCAACTTTGCCTATGATGGACAAATACTCCCAGGTGTGCTCTGGGGCCAGGGCCCTGCCACACACTCCATACAGGTTTATTCACTCTGTTTCCATAGCAACCCTGGGACGGAGGCACTATAATTCTCTGCATCTGGCAGTTGAGGAAACTGAAGCAAGGTTAAATGTCTTACTCTGCCAGCTCTTGATTGTATTCTGTCACCTCCAAATCCACCCTTTTTGCCTGCTCTTTTAAAATGCATCCAGGCCCTTTGAATGATCTCCCTTTGCCTGCTAGCACAGTGGTAAGCCTTTTGGTAGGAAACGCTACAGAGACACTGCGGGACAGGGAGGCACTGCTTTCTGGGTTCTGCTTAGCTCAGGCAGGCCCCTGCAGTGCACACTCACTGGCCTTCCTGAGCTGGTGGTAGAGCAGATGGCCACAGAGAAGACTGCTCCTTGTGCAGGTTTCTGGCAAGTTCCAGAAGGTGGATCTTCAACAAGTTCCATCTGCACAGCAGCACAGAAACTTCTGTTATCTGCTGAACCACACCATTCCCTGTCACCCGGGGCAGGAGGGGACTTTCTAGAGGTAGCACTACTCCTTTCACCTGGTGTTCCTACCTGTGTTCTTTGGAGGAGTCTTAACTTCTCATGGTGCCCGTCCTCTGTGTGCTTAATAAGTGCATTAAACTTTCTCAAACTGCCCTGTGGGTTCCTTCCTGGATCTTGGCTGATGCCCCTGCTGAAGGCTGCAGACCAGGTGCCGGGCTCCTGAGCCTTGCTCCTGCTATCATTGTTAGCCTCTCGTGGATGGGCGGGAGGTCAAGCAGAGTGAGCATGGGCAGAGCAGAGCAGGAGGGTGTCGGGGAGAACCCTGCAGTGCAGTTCCGAAGGCAGTTGGCTAGCAGACAGGGAATGGACAGGCATCCTATGTGCCATAGAGGGTCGGACAGGGAGGCTGACACCATGGGAAAGGGACAGAGGGGTCCTGCTGCATCCTCAAAACTTCTCTCTCATTCCTGGGGGTACTCCTGGTGAGTCTGGGGGGCTTAGGATCCTAAATCTTGCTCCCAGCAGTTTTCTCTTTTCTCTTGTACGAGGTCTCTGAGAAGCAATGTTCTCCCATGGGGATCTGGAAGCCAAGGACTTCCATGGTAGCCAGAGGGGGCAGAGAAGGAGGGTGTCACCCTGGGGTCCCCACAAAGACATTTCCCACCATTGTTAACCTGTCGCCACTGTTCAATCCAGATCAGCATATGTGAGAGAGAAACACTTGAATTTTTTAATAATTGCATTTATTTCCTTTTTGCTGTAAAAACTAGCTTTTCTTAACTTCCTGAATACATTTATAAATACTGGACATTGTAAGTGTCTGGAAAAACAAATAGCAGAGTTGGAGCTGTTAGGCCACTTTAACAAAACAGCTTTTGAGGAAGGGGTGCGTGTGCAGAAAACACTGATGTTCCTACAGAGTTATCAGCTGATTCTGCCCTCAGCTTCCGGTGAAACAGACTCTAGCTAAGCCAGGTCAGGCGCTGTGGGGGGCTGGGGAGAGAGGGCAGCTGAGGGAGGCAGTCTGCTTTGTCTGCAGTCTCTGGCATTAGGGGTGCATGTTTTAAAACATGCTGTGAGGACCCCCATTTTGGATTTTGCAAGAATTGGCAGATGTTGGGATTTGTATATAAAAAGTGATGGATTTTGGTCCCAGAAATTTAAAAAAAAAAAATCCCCCAGAGACCAAAACACACTTGAGTGTATAAGGCCCATCTGCTTGGTGGAAATGGCCGGGAGAAGCCCTAGACACAAAGATAAAATTCAGAAGTAAAAAAAAAAAAAAAAAAAAGAAGGGGACAAAGACTAGCGGGTTCCATGGAGTCAATATCCCTGCAAGACTGCTGACCTAGTTCCTCAGGCGTGCTGTTTGTTTGGGTCATTCAGGAAGTGATTCTTTCCTTTATGGAAAAAAAAAATCAAAAGTAAAATACGTGTTTTCATGTTGTGAAGGTAATGCTAAGTTTAATGGCTTATCCAGTGTTTGAAGTCTTCCAAGGTCCAGGTTGTGGTCAGCAGGGCAGCCCAGGTCAGACTGCGTTCCTTTGAAGGAGCTGGTCCAGTAATTGCTGGAGAGATGGGGAAACAGAGATGTCAAGTGCATGTTCACGGCTCTGGGCCACACGCCTCATACCTGCTGGCACGAGCCGTTACCTTTTTGAAGACTTCAGCTCGGAGTCTGTTGCTCTGTAAGATAACCCTTTTCTTTTGCTCTTCTTTCTTCTTTTTAACTTCTGGCAAGTTATTATAGATTCTGAAACAGACACAGAGAACATTCTGGATGGTAGCAGAGCTTGTGTCTGGGCACAGAGCATCCTGCCTTGTCAGAGCCTCTGACACTTCAAAGAAAGACTAGGCACATGGGCTTCCTTCACGTGGGGAGGTGCCAACATGAAGGCTTCCCCCTGTCCCCAGAACAGCTCCACACTGGGGACAGCAGCTCGTCTCTGTACTCTAGGGCCAGTGCAACAGCCAAGCTGGAGGGGCCAGGTCTTCCCTTGTCCCTCTACCCTCAGGGATAATTAAGTAACTTGTAAATCGGGGGATTCTAAACCTTTTGCTTTACATTCTGAGTGTTATTCAACCTTGCCCCCCAAAACCTTTTTTTTAAAAAATTTTTTGCCACCCAATGATTGCCTTCTAGAGACTCGGAAGGCGGAACAGATAGAAGTGGCAGGAATCACAATGCTGGAACAAACATGCCAAAAGGTGTGTGTGCCTCCTCTTACGAGACCACACGTCTAATTAAGCTGCTTCCAAATACCTCCTGGGCACAGTTATTATGGCCTTCTCTTATGTTAAAGTGGGAGTTCCCAAGTTACAGGCAGGGCCCGAGGGACACTTCTTCTTTCCTCTTTCCTAACAGAAACTCTTTCCGTGCCCATGTCAACCAGTATTGCTTCTAGAACCCACCGACTAGCAGGGCCACTGCAGCCAGAGCTGCTGGTTGCCATACACATGGCACTCAGCTAAAATATCTTTTTTTCTCTCATGTTTGAAAGCCCAATGCAATCTGCTCCATTATCAAAACTATAGAACAAAGTACAAAGATAATGATGGTAACAGTGTCAGCAGGTGACATCTTAGTTACCAGGCACCAGGCTGACCCTTGACATGAGTAAACTCAACCCACATGACCACTGGAGGAGGCAGGTGGTGTCCCACTGTTAGAAAAATGAGGAACCCAGGCCCTCAATTACCAGGAGACTTGGTGAAGCCCTGCTGCGGGCTCACAGGTTGCTGGCACTCAGACCTCAGTCTCTGATCCGTCCCTCTACACAGCGCTCCCCCAACTAGACAGAATGAAGCTGCTGGTGGGTGGGGAAATGTTGGGAACACACATCCTTCATGTATTCCTGAATCCTCCAAACATGATTCCAGAAAGGAGCCCATTGGGGATCAGAAGGAAGAGCTATCATGTCCCAAATCTCCCTGGTGGAAAGTCCTTCAGATCCACGGACGTCGCTTCCTGACTCTGGCCATCCAAATCAGCTGAGGAGTTTAAAACCCACAGACCCCTCCTTGGTTGTTTCTGATTTAGTAGTTTCTTAAAAGAGATCCCCCCAATACATCATGGTCTTACCCATCCCATGGGCCATACCCTGCCTAGAGTCGAAGCCGCAAGGAAGACAATCTGTGTCCTCTGACATATTACACTGTGAGAAAAGCAAGCTGTGGAGACAACATGGTATGACACCATTGTGGTCAAACACCATGTAACTGCCGTGAACAAACACAAGTCTATTTCAAGGTGGAGAGAAGGGAGACACACAACTGAGGTCTTTGCAGCAGATGGGCTGGGGCTGGGGAGGAGGCTGCGAGGGGAGCAGGAGTTGTGAGGGGACTGGAGCTTTATCTCCATTGTCTCACTTATTTCCAACTGAAAATATAATTTAACAGTAAAATAAATAACAGAGAATGCGAAAAAAAGAAAAGCTCCAGGTGAGCCAGGGCCAGCATCCAGCTAGGGCACATCTCACAGAGCAGAGAGAAACAAGATTGTGGAATCCTTAGAGACCAGCTGGGAGAGCAGCGACCCGGGTGCAGCGTCAGCAGCTCTCCTGTCTGCTTTGAGCCTCAGTTTCCTCCTAGTGAAAGGATGGAGCAAGATCTGCTACGACGCTGCTTTAAGATCTGTTACTTTAGTTGCTTGTTTGCAAAGCTCCATAGTAGTGGGTCTGGGGTTGAGGAGTGTGTGTGTGTGTGTGTGTGTGTGTGTGTGTGTGCGCGCGTGTGCACGCACGCAACACAACTTTGTACTTCTGAAACAGCAAGACTTCAAACCCAGCAGCCCTTATAAACCCTGGATAGAATGCTGTGAACCAGGCCTCTGTTACAAAGGTCCACCTTCTTGTCGCTTTCATTTCCTGATTGACAGAGGTGCTCCCTGGGGACAATCAAAATGGTCTAATTATCATGGGAAACAACAAAATCACAGTAAAAGCAGAGATTTGGGGCCGGAGTGTATGTGGGGTTATTCTTTCTATCTCAGTGGTGTCTCTAAGTGCACTATCAGTTTGATTTAGTTATTATAATCCCTCCTCGTGCCAGATGCTTTACTGTGCCCTGACGACTGTCCTTGCATGAACGTGGCCAACACTGCTGAGCTTTAGCATTTTGGCTAAGCAGCCAGGTCTCTAGAAGAATGGCAGCTTTTGTGTGCACCAGGTTGGTGAGAATTAGTGGGAGTGTTGGCAAACCACCAGCCGAGCAGAACAGGGAGAATTCGCTGAACGGGGGCCGCCAAGCCTGCCAGAGCCAGAGCGCCAGGAAAGCCGGCTGGTGGCCCCTCCAAGGCCCCACTGGCTCCCACGCTCCAGCGGCTTCCAGCTTGGATCCTGTCTTTCAGGCTCTGGTGCTGTCGAGCCCTGGGAGAAACAGCGTCTGGCCTCCATGAAATCGCCTTCAGAGGTGCAGCAACACGGCTCCAGCCCACAGCGATGATGCCAGCTCGGAGCAGGGGATCTCTCAGAGACCAGTACTGGATTGGTCCAGAGTCAAAGACCACCCCTTTCTATGTTTCTCCAAGAGCAGATGAGCATTCAGAGGCGCACTCCTGCCGCTGTGCTCAGTTAAACCCGTGTTTTCAGATTTTCAGCCAAGAGGACCTCAGACCTCAAACATGGACCTAAATGACCTTATTGGTCAGCACTGTCATGCCACCCCAACTCCCTCCCCAAATTCCTCCCATGTCACATCATAACCAGGTACCTTTTAGATCTCATATGCATCTCCTTCTCTGAAATGCACCTTTCTTTGGGTTTGAACAAGTTATCTGGAAAAAAAAATAAGAAAGGCGGGGGAAAGATGATTAATTACAGAAGGTACAGAGTTATCACACAGCTCTGGAGTGCTGGAGCTGGCACTCTCCCTGGATCTCTCCTCCTCTAAGCCACAGCCTATGACAAACTCTGCAGGGCTCACACCCATAAATGGCTGCGCTGACCACTGGGCGGCCAGCAAAGGCCTGGGGTGCAGTGTTAACCGCTCCTCTGGGTGCTTCCTGCAGCCACAGTCCTGGTTTTCTGGGGGATGTGCCAGGGCCCATGGCCATTCCGCTCATTCCACTAGGTTTTCGAGGCCCCTAAGGACAAGGAAATCACCCAGCTGCCCTGGACATTTTGAGAGCAGGAGACCTCATCACACCTGCAGCCTTCCATCCAGGCTGCTCGGCCTCTGCCGGATGAACACCACCGTCCCACTTTTCTAATGTCAGAAGAGTCATGGACAACACCGTAGCCCTGTATCTTAGTGGCCTTTGATTAAGTGCAGAGTGGCAAAAAAACAAAAAACAACAACACTGTGGTACTGCAATGTTCTTCAGTGTGAGTGAGAATACATCACGATCATCGTGAGGTTCACATATGGCACACTGAAAAATGATTTTTTTTTAATGGCTTGTACTCTTTTGCAGTAACAGAAAACAAGTCTGAAATGCCCAAGACTCAGCCCTACAGATTAGCCAAGGGTGGGGCACACGAGCCTGGGGTGCTTGTGGCCTGGGGTAACCTGGGCAGCTGCCATGCTTCCTGGAGCACCCAGATGGACAAGCTCACTGCATCATTTGGCAGAAGCAGACAGGTGGCCCAGGATCCTTGCTAAGCTGCAGAGTAGGCGTGGGATCCCTGTGATCCCCAAGGAGCCCTGGGCTGTATTTCCGTTCATTTCTCCCCATGCCCAGGACTTTCTCCCTTGCTCATCTGACCAGTGGAGCCACCAAAGACAGCTCCAGGACGTACAGAATTTTCCCAGACTATGCAAGAAGGTGAGACAGGGCGACTAGGGAAGGCCTTCCCCTCTGAGCACAACAACTATGTACAGTGGCTGAGCTCACGTCCTGCCCAGGGGTTTGAACATTCGTTATGACCCCACTCCTCAAAGGAGATATGGGAGAAAAAAGAAAGAAATAGGAATATTCACAACTAGAGGAAACGTCGCCCATGTTTAGAAAGGCGGGGGACTCTCAGAGAAGGAGGAAGGTGACATTGCCACTACTCCCACCCTAGCCTCCACTCTGGACAGGACCAGGCAGAGACAGGTGCTCTGAGAAATCCCAGGAAGGAGTGTCATCTGAGTCAGCTGGGGTCTTGGGTAAACAAATATGTGAGAATTTAGGGCTCCCACTGAGGGACAAGAAACCTCGCAGGAAGACAGGCAGGTGCGATTGGGGTTCCCCAAGAACTACTCAAGATTAGGGTGAATTCGATGTAGACAGACAGGAAGGGATTAAAAAACACACAGATTTCATTTGATTTCACAACTCCGTGATAGGTGGCCTGTTCTGGAAATTGAAATTTTCTTTTTTCTTTTCAGTTTGTTCTTTACAGTATCCATACCACAATTACGTTTTGGTTTTATTTCTAAGAAACAACAACAACAACAAAACCATGAGCCCCCAGCCCCCTGCCCCCTGCCGAGTTTGATGCATCTGTTAAGGACCATGTCTTAGGAGTAAGGTGTTAAAGCAGATCTGCTTGTTACGGCTTGTGGATGATCACAGGCGCTCTTCAGAACAGGAACTGAGCGGCACACACTCAGAAGTGGCCAAGGGAGCCCGGGCCAGCAATCGCAGCCCTGTGGTGGGTGAAAGATGGCAGTGCTTGGCCCAGAGTGCAGCCACGGGACTCATCTACCTTGGACAGGTAGAGAGAGCCGTAGGGCCTGGAGACATGAGTGGAGATGATTCCAGGCTTGGGGTGAGCGACACATTCATCTGACAATTGCTGAGTTTTTATCTCCTTGGTGCTAGGCAGTGGGACACAAAGATGAATAAGACCGAGAGCTCAGAGCCTGGGTTGACAGATTAACGGGGCCTTTCAGAGCCAGGGCCAAAGACGCAGCCTCAGGGAGGATTGGGCAGGTCCACCAGGCAGGAGGGGAGCTGGGGAGACTCCAGAGCACAAGACAGCTAGAGCCAAAAAGAGGGGTCCCCCAGCAGCCTGAGGGGTTGGGTGTGGGAGGAAGGCGGCCAGGACCACTCCACCTGCCCCAGCCCCAGGGGTCTCATTTCATGGCATGGAAACCCACCCTGTGTGGTGTGCTCTGTTCAACCTTTCCGTGAAATCTCATCAACCCCCCCCCCTTTTTAAAGAGAGAGAGAGAGAGAGAGAAAGAGAGAGAGAGAGTTTTGTAATATTTATTTTTTAGTTTTCGGTGGACACAACATCTTTATTTTATTTGTATGTGGTGCTGAGGATCGAACCCAGTGCCCCGCACATGCCAGGCGAGCGTGCTACTGCTTGAGCCACATCCCCAGCCCCAATTCCCTTTCAATATAAATTCTGCCTTAATAAAATGAAAGTAACTGGAGAGAATAATTTTCAGCCTGCTTAGGGGTCTTTTAGAGATCATCCTTAAAGCTTCCCACGTGAGACTATAGTCACACTTACCTTCTACTGTTGTTCAAATGGAGGTGATTTTTATTTTTTTCCCTGAGAGAAGCCCTAAGTCACCTATTTAAACATTTCGGGGAACTTTTTCTCCTGAAAAAGAAAAAATCCTTGCACCTGGCTCCTCGCTGGACCCAAACCACGGGGCCTGCGGTCAGCGGACTCTGGTGAGGCCAGGCTTCCATAAGCCTCTGCCTGCTTCCAGGTCAGCAGACAACCAGGTTCTGAGGGGACTCGGAGCCTCTGAGAGAGACTGCTGCTGAACAATCAAAGGCACAGACAGGGACAGGCGGCCTTCACATTCAACAGCTGTCAGAGTCACCAGGGAGCAGCCAGCATCCTCCGACACCAGCTCTTCCTCCCTTGGAACCTGTGTCCACACTCCACAGCGAAGCTTTGCCCTCCCCTGGGGCAGTGACCTCGATGATGATGGAGTTCACAGTGGGCTTAGGAGGACACCCCCCCCAGGGGCTTTGTTTTCTGTAGTCACTGAGCTCTCAGAGACACTTCTTCCCCTGCCTTAGACACTCCAAAACCAAGACACACCGACTCGGCAGCTCTTGCAATGGCTTGGAGTCTACACCTCCCCAAAAAGAAAAGAAATGGGGGTGTTTTGGGGGGGCCTGGGGTGTGTTTCTAAGACGGCTAGGCTGCTCGTTTCACTGATTTCACAGCAATAAGCAGCTGACTGTGCGGCTGCTAGGGTGACATTCGAACGTCAAGATTCAAATTCTGTTCTGTGCACTGGGTTTCGGTTCAGCTCTCTGCGTGGGAACCTCCAACAAGTCCGATGCGAGCAACCGCAGAGTGGTCTACCTGGGGCTGAGGAGCCCTGAGGAACCTGGACAGGCACCCCACCACACACAGGCACCTCAAAGACGCACAGGTGGCTGGCCTCTGACGGGCTCTTGCGCTGGATAAACACTCTCCTTTCTCTAAACTCACGTCCAGCTTCCGCAGAATCCTGGCCCTGCTTGATGGTCGCACGAAGTGAGCAGCTCGCGCCACGGTCAGGAAGGCCAGTGCTGACCTTCACATGAAGACAATGACGTGTGCCAGTTGCCATCCGGCCACAGGAGGAGATGGGGAGGGCATGGTGTGGACATGCCTGGAGGCTCCGACCCTTCTGGTGAAGGAATACAGACTTCAGAAATGAAAACTAACCCAGAGGGTCTCCAGAAATGGCCACTTCCTTTGCAAACTCAGTTTAGGAAGCACGGTGTGAGTGTAGTACGGTGGTGATGGTGACGGGGTGTCTGGGTAGGAGAGGGTGACCCATTCTCCTTACATAAAGCTCACCTCCTGCACACAGAGACCCGTCCTTGGGCTTACAGCCGAATCACTGCCTCAGGGCTTCCATGAAAAGATGGGGTACTAGGGAGCTACAGGATGGACTTGAGAAGGGGTGGTGACAAGAGAGGCCACCATGAACACAGCAGCCCAGCAGCCAATGGCAGATCCTCCTTTGAAAGAGCCTGGATGCAACATGGACCAGACCACAGTAAGGGGGCAACCCAGACCCCACATCAAACACGCCTGTGAAAATGGCCATTGGAGAGACATGGCTGCATCCCCTGATCTCTCCTGCCCTGACTCTTGGACCAATGAGCACTGTCAGTGGCCCTCTTCTCTCTCCAGCTCCCCTAGGTCTAGGCTTGGTTTATAGCTGCCTGTCCACCGACCGCTCTCCCCAAGTGGAGGAAGCTCCCAGAGGATGAGAATCTCTCCTCTGTCCCTCCCCTGCCCAGCTCCCTACTCCTTCCACTCACACTCCGTCCTGTGGCTGAGAGCACGAGGTGCTTCTCATTTGTGTCTGTTGACTGGCTACTCCTCAAGAGACCCAGTGAGGGACAGAAAGGTCCAAGGATCTCCATGGGTACCCTACACACACCCTGGGTACTGCTGGGAAAGCAGCCTGCGCCTAGGTCAGACTGACCACAAGTTCCATTCACGCTGGGGCCAGCAGGATCAGAGACTCTACACTAAACCAGATCCCTATTTAGGACCAAGTCTCTCAAAGTAAACCCCACTGAAGGGCTTCAATTCGTTATCCAAAAGACACAAGTCCCCAGGAAGCCCTGGATTGGTCAACAAAGCACTACAGAGTATTTTGTACACAGAGAACACTGTTTTCTCAAAGGAAATCCAGCTGTGAAACGGTCAACTTCATCCAGCCCTTAGGATTTACGGACCGCTCCCCCCCCCACCCCCGCCAATTCTTAATGACCTCACTCATTATGGCAGGAACTTCAGTTTCTTCCTGCTTACATAAGACAACGGAGAGCTAGTAAGCTCGCATTAAGCTTGCATGATATACATAGGTGATTCTTTGGGCTTGCCTGGTGTTGTGCCCCTGGTACAAGCTACTCGAGCTCTCTGAAGTCCT